AGTAGTTTGATTTTTTCATCTGTAAAAATTTCAAAATTCTCGATATAGTAATAAACAGTATAGTAATAAACAATATAGTAATAAACAATAATGTAGGATAATCATCCTGGATAATTGTAGTTGGAAAGATCGTTGAAATAACAGTTTTCAATATGATAAATTGTGAAGTTCAAATATATGAATTATAAATGTTTTGTAAATAAATTAACTTTCCTATTGCAAACTGTAACTAACTAATGATAAATAATATATATAATATATATATTAACATTAAGCAAAATATCAAATATATAGTCAAATAATTATTTTGTACGAAAACGATAAATTAATTTGAATTTTTAACTCTAAAATCTTAGTAAACAATCAATTTTAAGTAGGTTTATTCATTTCTTCTTAACCGTAAAAAGTCAACTAAAATTTGCTGTTTATAATATTAAGTTATGAATAATATTATACATCAATAAATATTTTTGGAAGTAATATTTTTACTTCTCCCGAACTCCAGGTGATTATTTATTTATTTAATATTCAAAATTGACAGTTGTTAAATTTTTAAATTATATAATCATATATGTATTTTATCGTGTATTGGAGTATTTAAGTTCGTTTTCAAAACCGTTGGTTTATGAATAGCCGATAAATTGATATAAAAAAATGAAAAAGGTGACATAAGCGCGCGAAGCGCGGTAGACTTATATAATGTTATATAAAATAAACATATATAAAGTTTTTAGAGAATGCAATTATATATGATGTATATGTATTTTTATGCCTGTATACATACATACGTATAGGTGTGTAAACTAAACGCTTACATTTTTATAAATCTAACTGCCTTACGCTCTTTTATTGTTTCATTTCCGGTGTAGATTATTTTTGTTTACGACAAAGCACTCGACGATTTTCAGCAGCTCGGGAGTCGATTTTCCAGCGGTCAAACATACCGTCATAAAATAATTTGATACATTGGCGGTAGGCTTTAAAAGAAAATTAAGAAAACGAATAAAATACATCGGAAATATGTGCAGCGTTGCCGCTTGCACATATTTGACATTTTAAAAGAGAACGTTTCGAACCGAGTATTTAGTCGTGAAGCTATCCGGAATAAGTAATAAAGTAAAAAATGCACTTGATCAAAAAAAGCTGACCTAATAAAGCCGAACGATATTCGTCAAGCTGATGTTTCATGAAAAAATTAAGCTATCGTTCGTGAATAAATTAATGAAAGAAAAAAGAAAGCAGAACAAGATGAATCTGAGCTTGTTAAGCGATTAAAGCTTCATACTTAAATAAAACAAGCACGTAATTTTATTTCAAAATTAGATTTGATTTGACTTATCACCAGTAGCACCACAGATGTCAAAACCATCTCTAGGTAAATCTAACACCATTACCAAATCAAGCACAGCCATTATTCCACCGATCAATTTGGTATTAATAATAAAAAATTCTGATGGAACAGAAAGTCGTCTACCACTGCAATTTAAAAATAAAAAAATGAGAGATTAAAGCCTTGTAAGAATGATAATTAGCAATCACGATTGAAAATTTAAGAAAAAGAGACAGAAGCTCACCTAGAAGAAGTGCTTGGAAGAATAAGAAGTATCTAGAACATGATCTAAGATAAGTATCTTATTAAAAAGTCCATTCCAAAACCAGACCGGATTAAGAAAGTTCATTTGAGGACTAGATTATTACAAAAATATTTTTTTAAGAGACGCATAGCAGAGTTTCTTTGAAGTGAAAAATAATTTAAAAAATCACTTTTTTCGTATTGATAAAAGTTATCTAAGAAAGAGAGAGAGAGAGAGAGAGAGAGAGAGAAGGCCACGTGGGAGGGATGAAAGATATAGGGAGAGAGAGATAATGTTTCACTATCACTATTATAAGTGATTGAAAAATCTTTCTAAAATACATTAATACTGTTAAATTCTTGAATTAGTTTGAGCAATGAAGGAAATATACCTTTCTTGTATAAAAGTGTTCTTTTATTTATTTAGAATATTTAACTTATTTTACAATTATTTATATTTTAGTACATAGTTATTGAAATTTTGTATAATCTTAAACAGCGGTAGGCTGCTGTATTATTAGGAAAAAATTGTCTTGCTTCAAAATGAGGGCACACGTACGTCAATAGATGCACTTATTTTATTTGGAATAATTGATAAGTATGTGTTCCGGATGCTTCGCCAGCGAGCGAGAAAGTTTCCTGTGGTGCATCTGTGGTGCTTCTGTTCGGTATATCACTCGGTTTGCTCGCGTAAAGGAAAATAAAAAAAAATTAAATTAAACAGATAAGCGGAGTGTCACTTCGACGATTACTGGTGAACGCGCCAGTTACGAGATTGCTATCGTCCGAGTATCTGAAAGGGATTGGGCGCGTTCGGACAAGTAGAGGTATAGGTGCTCGCCTCTTCTTTCTTTTCGGCGTCTCTTCGAAAAATGAAGGAACCAAATGGCCTACGTCTGGTTAGTCCTATGATAGTAAGTCTATGACCAGCAAATAAAAGAAGGAAGCGATCCGTGATTAAAGAAAAGCGTATGGTCGGGGCGATAAGCGCGTTCGGTAGAGATGCGCTGGAAGCGTCTCTCACGGAGAAGTCGCGGGACGATAAGGGCCCGAAACTCTCCTTGCAAAAGCGCGTCGCAAGCTCGCTAGCAGCACTCTCAGACTCATGCGCGAGCTCTTGCGCATCTGGCAACTAGGAACATCAGTTTCCAAAGCTAAGAAAAATAAGCGGAGCAGGGTAGCAGACTGCGCGATCACATGAAATATGGCACGAAAAGCTACACGTCCGAGCCTTTGGGCCGCCAGAGAGGGAAAATTTCGGTGGTGGCCGGTTAGCGTCTCTTACCCTGAGCGCATCCAGGTAGACTGGCTCTGAGACTCTAGCAGGTCGGTAACCCTTGCGCTCTAATAGCATTGTACCCGTGTTAGTTTAGTCTGTGATTTTTATCCGTTTCTTTTCAGTTGTTTATTAGATTTAATCCACCGCTTCGATTACTTCTTATTGTTTGAATATTGCTAATTCGATATTTCATTGAGTGATATTTAGATTGAGATTTTCATAAGAATAACATTGAGAGTTGATGAATAATTTTATATAACTAAAATATAGTAATCATAACTGCCAGCGTTATGTACTTGCTTCACTTTTTTATTACGATTATTGAAAGGCTAAAATAACGAAGCGAGCTTTTTTCGATTGACTTGATGTTTTCATACTCCAAATGTGCTTTGATTTATGAGCTCATTTCGGATGCTCACACAACACTCAAGTACGATAACTCACAGTTATTGCTCTATCATAACCAATTTTATTAAGTAATTTGATTTTTGTCTATCGGCTATTATTACATAGGACATTAACAATTTTAATCCGTATGGGCAGATAGCAAGCGCCTTGAAAAGTAACTTACATATGAAAGTAGCTGCTCCTGTAGTCCTCTTATAATAATAATACTCTCCTATATAAAAAGCAGCCAGACAGAGTAAAGTTAATTTATGCGTGATCTGATTAGTTTAAAGATACTCACGTGATAAACTGTAATGTGATGGCATATATAACATGTTGTGTACGCTCATGAAAGTTTACTGCAGATTTTGGTATTCTCGTGAAGAATGATTAAACGTTAGAAAAGTATTGTATATCAGTATAGTTGACATGCATTTAATATGAATTAATTGATTTCATTATACTAATTTCCAATTAAAAATCGACTGATATCTTGATAGAGAAATTAATTGAATTTTACTCATTGCGAAAGATTAGCTCCGAATAAACAATGTGAGCAATAAAATATATAAATCAACAAATTATCACGATAAAATATTAGACAGTGATTTCAGCGTTATTCAGTTATATCAAATATTAGAATTTTTTTTGAAAATACATTAATTAAAGCCGTGAACATCTATCGAGGAATGTTATTTACATGGTGAAGAATATAATGATGTTCTACATCTTATGTTAGATTTTTTATCATGTTTTTGAAACTTGTGACTTTTGATGTCTTTTTGTGTTGTTCTACACAGAATTGTAGACAATAAACACTTAAAACTTCATTAATAACATTTTTAAATTATGAATATAAAACTGCATATTTATTTACCAATAAATAATATCGTCGTCTATATCTCATATTGAATCATGAGAATATATAATACATAATAAATTATCTAATGTTTAATTTCACTACTAAAAGTTTTGGTCTATATTTGTGCATTAAAATGAATGCGAAAAAAGAAAATGACGAACGATGAATTGGTAAATTTGCCTATGATAGCATTCAAATCGTTTCACGATCTTGCAAGGATATCACCGTCATATTATTGCTAAGTTATCAATTGATACATAATTAATAGTGGAAATGATGAATCTATATAACATTGATAGCGGGACTGATGAATTTATCATTACATGATCCGCCAGTTCCCCGAACATAGTGGTGTTCGCAATATACAATCTGTGAGCTCCCATGGCGCCGATGACGTAATCTGCCAGAATAAACATAATATGACTATTTAGTTACTATTCCTGGAGAGAGGATACAGTGATGATTTAAGCAAATTACCGCAAAAAGGCAATTACGCATGGTCCGGCGTTTTAGATTAAACTGAGATAGAATATTTGAGCTGTGTGATAGAGTATCCGTTTATAAACCGTAATATAGTAAAAATCAAATACGATCCGTCATTTTCACCATTCCGTGTCCGATAGAATTTGATGTAGTACAAATATAAATGAGCAGTTCAGTCACACATGAACAGTTTGCTGAAAATGTTGTCATACTAACGGATGCAAATGAAAAATAAAATAGCACCAGCTTGCATCGACCCTCGTCTCGTGCAATATGTAGCGGTGTCTCTGTTTCTCTAGCTACTTGGACGTAATTCGATAATCTAGGTGCCGCGGCACGTTGGCGGCATGTCCATCCAAATGAAAGACCAACATACGACGACGAACTAATCTGGGATACGTGTGTCTGCTTTACAGATTGAACTACCTGGCGGCAGGCTTGACACCATCGTGGTACCACGCGACCAATGTGGCACTCCATGCAGCGGCATGCATGCTTGTTACCCGAGTCTCGTTGAGCGTTGCAGCGCTGAGGCCTGGGTTCGCTGCCCTGACCGGCCTCCTCTTCGCTACTCATCCCATTCATACTGACGCGGTAAGCTTTTCTCTGTTATGTTTACTCGGTTCGAGCGAGCACTATCTGCGCTATTCCAGCAACTCATCCGCTAGACAAACTGCTGGATTAGAGAATTTACGTTACTAAACATGCATATATATATATATGATTGAATGAGACTTTTTCGATAAATCTTGTTTGTTTTCTTTGTTTAATTTTACTCACTTTTTGAAGCGACTCATTTGACATTGGAAAAGCAGCCTTTAGGAAATTTTTTGGCAAACAAACTGACATGCGCGCAACAGCCAGTTCGTACTCTTATGTACTTGTGAAATTATCATTTCATCGAGCTACTAATTCGATGCCCTTATAAATTAGATTCGGAAGCTTCTCATTGTCAGTCATCCTCTAGAAATGACAGTCAAACTCGCGAGTACATACCAGGCGCAAAACCCAATTTTGCAGCACACAGACATTAATGAAAAGCCAAACAAACACATTCGCCAAATGCACGAGCGCGAACGCGCGCGAAACCAATCACTATAACGCAGCCAGCTCGCAGCGCAGAAAAAGCATTTGGTTAACGAACCGCACGTACGCGAGTGTGTCTGTGGGCCATTACCGCCGATGACTTTTCGGCATCAATTTAATTGAGAGAGTGAGCATCGTGGAGCGAGAGAAAGAGGGTGGGGCGGGTGATCAGTTTGCCGAGGCGTGTAACTATACGCTAGGAGGAGCTGGCGAGCATCTGTTTACGGAAATGATCGAGTTACCGAAGGAGCAGCGCTTCGGCCCTTGTGCTTCATTCATGACTATGTGCGTGTGTGCGCGGCTGGTGTGATTGAAAGGAGCTGCCTTAATTAACTTGTAGTCCTCCCTATTCTACCGCAACAGCCTCCCTTCTGTGTGTATGTTTACAGCCCAGCAAATGCGCTCGAGAATAGCAAGCGAAATGCCCTCGGTTCTTACCTGTCAACAATGTCTCTCGGTGTAAACTGTGAGTGACTATGTGCTTTGAAGATGGTCGTGGAACTTAATTCTTTCATTTCTCTTATGAAAAACTCTTCATTTACAATGAAATCACATTAACGGTATAAACAAACTAATTGTTTTCTTTAATTTACCAAATATGATATTTTTTAAAATAGAAACCACAATATCAGTTTTACCGTGCTAATCTTATATACTGTGCCTCGATCTTGCACAATTGGACACCCACAAGAAATATCATTACGAGGAGAAAAAGTAGAATTCCGTGAAGCAAAAAATATAAAATGTTTTAAAATTTGCTTAAATATATTTTAAGCTAAACGTGCGTGTGTTTATGAATATTGTCTAGTCCTCAATATGGGGACGTGTACAAGTACGTTAGAATTATATCGGATGATAAAAGATCCACTTTGACGGAAATCGCCAGCAGCTCCGGAAACACAATCTCACGTTTGTATCGCAGAGCCGCAAGGCGAGCAATCGGCGAAACAGTTGCTCTCTTCTACTACTGCCACATACGTACGGTGAGAGAAGGAGGGAAAAAAGACAAAAAGACTAAAAAGAACAATCCAATTTTTCTTTCAAACTCATACAATACATTCCGCCAATAAAAGTCCTATTCTTTGTAAGCCGCACGAGCAAACTTTTTAATCGCTTCGTTTCCAGACAACCAACGTTTCAAGTAGAAAAGGGCACCAAAAACAAAAGAAAGAATCCTTGCGCTCGCGCGTGTCAGCTACATAAATCAGGAACAAATCAGTCGAGCCTTTTGGCCCGCGACATTGGCGCTCTCGGTGACAAGAATCGATAACGAACTAGCGTAAGCGTACAGCGAGACTTGAAAACGCTTGAAAATTCTGACAACGGCTCTCCATTGTCCGATTGTCGATCACGAAATTTCCGTCAATGTAATTTTCCGCGAGACAGCAAAAATCATAGATACGTTTAATTCTCTTTCTACCAGCAAGCCTAAGCATTTTTTTGCACTACTGAGACATCTTGAGCACGGCTCGATCGCGCGGAAAGCCTTTGCTCTCGGTGCAGGGGAAAAGGACTTTTACGAGCGAGCTAAGCGGCCAATCAACATTCTTTAGGTTTTATTGTCGCAGCCGTGATTGAAAGTCCCACGTACGCGTTTAATTCTACTAATTACTTGGTGTCTGATTAAAATTTTAATATCCGACCCTTCTATACCTTGCAACCTTCGTCTTTCGAGCCTCGTCCCTGCCCCCCGTGATTGCGCCTCGAGTACCCTTCGCTCGCTCTTTGACTGGCCGCCCTTCCTCCTTCCTAGCCTTCATTGTCTCCGACGCTTATATTCTCTGACAATGTCTTCCCTTCACTAAGCCTTTTATGAGCGCCACTTAAACTTTTTATTTTTGCTTAATCGCTTTACTTTCAATTTCAACCAGTTAAAGCGCGAGGGCTTCTGTGAAAATATATGCTTGCTTTCAACTATGTATTTGACTTTGCCGTGTGTCAACTTGTTACGATTACTCGTGATTATTCGCGCGCCTCGAGAACGAGTTCACCAAAATTAATAATGTCCGATGAGATAATCTGTCGGAAATGAGCTTCTGAAAGATTGACGTTCTGACAATGGAGAGAGCATTCTCGTGTTGACTTTTCTATTGTTTGCCAATGAACGAACCGATGATTTGCTAGCTTATGAGTTTTGCTTTAACCGTATCGCTATTCAGTATCAAACAAATGCTGTCTTCGTAAAATGGGGTTTTGATTGAAAATAGCTGCGCGGAGCTTACGTGTATTGTGCAGCAAAAGTTGGAAGAAATAATCGATTGGCATGAAATATTGCTTGTCGAGTCCTCGATAATGGGCTTTATGTCGCAGCGCAGCAAAAAACTCGAAATAAAGCAATCGCAAACTGTAATACAACGGCCGACGATGCAAACTGATCAAAGGTCTACGTGACCACGGCCAAAGCTAATACTCGTCGTCAAGTTGGAATAAAAAAAGAACTTTGGAATGTGCCTCGCAAGCACTTTGTCTGGCCGTGATAATCAAATCAGCAACCAAATGCCCCTACTTTCGCAGGAGCAGAAAGGCAGAAAGGCGGAAAGGGGACAGGAATACTCGTATGTGCGTCGCGCACGAACGTCTGATAATAGGCCTCGGCCAACTATGCTCCGTGTACACTCGAACAGATCGAAAAAAAACTCGAAACCTCTTTTATTAGCTTTTATTTCCTTCATTAGCTGGCTTGCTGTTTTCGCTGTTTATGCGCGCAACAAATTGCACCTTCAAATCGATCCGTCACGAGATTGCGGTTATATTACGTCGCGCCAAAGGCAATTGACTTGAAACAAATGTTTTCTCCCTGTCTGCCTCCCCGAACGGACATTTCATTAGCGGATATTGCCAGGCGACGTCATCTCTTTTCTCTCGGCAAGAACGCCAATTGGCATTATTCTTCTGTCTTCAAGTGTAGCTTGCGATAAATGGGGATTATCTGGATTATCTAGACGTGTAGGTATATGCGCGTACAAATAGGTCGTGTATCAACCAAAGCTGCGGGCGACTTCTCTTCGGGTGCCTCTAAAGATAACTCGCTCCAGTATGCTCATTAGCCACCGCGTTGGGCCAACAACAAGCTTGCACCGTGCGCGCGCACCTTTAGTTCCTTAATGAGTCGCTACCTTTTCATCGTGTCACCAAGAGTATCCGAAAGTAATAGTTTGGAATTCTTTTGAATAACATCGCGATAGGAGACACGCAAAGCTGACATTGAGATTTCATAGCATCGATATAGTGCGCGATAATAGACAATATTAGTTTCGAGCAGAATGCAAAAGGATCGAGGCGAGGCTACAGCCGAATCGAGCGAGAGAATTATCTGCAACGATATCTCGCCGGCACTTACTCTTGCCGAACAATTCGGACGCGCGTACATACATAATCCGACGATTCGAGCCAGCGATAAATTATGACCGAAAGTCAGCTTTGCGTGTATATATCGACATTGCCACAAGGGATACTCTATCTCTCTCTCTCTCTCTCTCTCTCTCTCTCTCTCTCTCTCTCTCTCTCTCTCCTCTCTCTCTCTCTCCCTTTCTCGCAGTCATTATCATGCGCGCAAAACGCGCAGAGAGAACCCTTGCAACAACATTATCGGCAGATAGAGCTGTTCATGCTTTTGCAAATTGCTTCGACTCCGTAATGGTCTTTGTACCCCACAAGTCCAAATTCACTCGGCTTTCTGTCTTTTCGCATGCTTCATTGGCTTTTTATGAGAAATGCACTTTTAGCTATATGACAAGGAACAATCATCGTGCAATGTTATTTGCCTGTCTGTATGCTTCAATTCGATCGCATTTCCAACTCACTTAACAATTTCAGTAACAACGAGGGCTTTATCGAATGCAGCAAATTATGAAATTGACTCGTGGAGACTTGCTAATGGTAGTTTCGAGCGCTAGAGCTTGATCGCACAACAATTGTTGCGAGCAAACTTATTCGGCGCAAGGCTAGCCGTATAAGAACAACCCAATTCCTCAAATGAAAATTCCATTGAGACAAGCACAAAATCCAAAATGAAAATCCCAATTAAAAGCGGAAATTTGCACAATGCGTATTGTAAAAACATCGCGCACGCGCTGCCAACTCGCATAATGCAAAAGCGCCTCAAGGGCGTTGAAAGCTTATTTGATGGTCTCGCTGGCTTTTGCGCGCATGTGGTATACTCCCGGACGAACGTCGACAGCGCGAGAGGAAAAAAAGTAGCGGAAAAACAGTGTCGCGTGCGTGTGGGTAAAATGACGCGCGCCCGGTCTGAAAGAAAGAATGGCGCGGAGAAAAATAGCTGGAAACACGCGGAGCATTGTCGCGTATTGAAAACTTGAGAGAATGCTCGTGCACCTCGTTTCCTGCGTTGCGTTTTTTTACTTTCATCGCGTGTTATCGATTGAACACATCGAGTTTCTCTCTCGCGAAAAATCATGCTAACGAGCGAAACTGACGTACGTGTGTGCGCGCGTGTTTGGAAAAAAGAGGATCGTATTTGATTGCTGACATACGACGACTATTGGAGTTTCTGTTTGCCATGTATAGGCTGCGACGAGTTGGAGTGGTTGTTGCGCAACAGACAATTGTCAATGTATAGAGGATATATTCGATTGAAGGAATGTTCTCTGTCTAGAACATTCGGTTTTGTTGGTATCTTCGGCGAAATCATTAAAACTTAAAAACATCCGTATGCATTTGTTGCCTGGTAATTGACCGAACTTTCGGTTTCGAATCTCTTGTGCTGCTCGAAAGAACGCAAGGGGATCGGAATCCTGTCTTCAAGCTTAACTGAAATAATTTGTTTGTAGAATGTACATCTACATGATATATTATTAGTATTTAGTCGATATTGTCGCAAATGGTGAGCGGCATGAAATCCGCATGGACGCTGCTCCTGTTTTTTAGCCAGCTATTTTTTCCACTTCGAAAGTACCTCTAACTTTCTAATAGCGCACGAGCAAAAAAGATTGGTACACACTTTCTGCCCAGCCATATTCAAGCAGATGACGCTTGCAGTAGTCTAGTTAAAAAAAGGAAGAAAAGTTCCGCTTATGTAGAGGGAGGGAGGGTAAAATCTTGATAGGAGGACGTAAAAAAATTGGCTGAAGCTTGGGCGTGCTCGCTTAAACGTGCGAAAATACGAAGATAGTCCAAAGGAAATAAAATATCCTCTAATCTCATTTGACCCATCTCTCTTCCTACGACTTTGCCGATTTTTTCTCTTCTTTCACTTTCAGCGAGAGCATTCATGATCGTTCCGTATAGTGTCTTTTGTCTACGATAAAAATCCTTTTGCAAAATAACGTCTACCATCCATTGGCCTACGGTTTAATAAATAAAGACTCGGCTCTCCTCTCTCGTGAAATTGGATTCGCGGACACTACCAACCCAAGAGATAAATCTGCCTAGGCTCTCTCGTATCGCGCGTCAGTCAAGAGAGAGAGAGAGAGGGGGGAGAGAGAGTGAGAGAGAGAGAGAGAGAGAGAGAGAGAGGAAGCCGCGCTCACTGCTTCTACTTCGGCTGATTTATCACACGGGTCCGCGCTATCTTGAGTGGAGCGAATCTTGCACCCGCCGACACTGACGAAGCGCCGATTTTTTCTCTCGCTCTCTCGTTCTGAGACGAAAATAAAATAAAAGAGCTTTTAATGAAGCCATTCGTTGCACAGAAGGATATTGATATACCGAGGCTAATTAGAACGCACGCAAGTTGTTGCGTTTGACCGTGCAATAATCGCTTCGATAATTCCAACTTGGATGTTACGCCAATGTATCCATCAATCAACCACTCGTGCTAACGATGCTATTGGTTTGCAAACGACCTATTGGTGGTTTGCGTTCAATGCGGATGGTTTCGATACTTGTGAGTTAGAGTTCTTGGTAGAGCTCGATTGAATATTTTTTTATTGTTTGTTTTTTTTTGTTTTTATTTTATTTGTGAATACACGCACACATTTTATTTAACTTACACAGCACCAAAATCATTCATAAGAAGGAATATGAATGAAAATTGTACGAGTAAAGAGAAATTGTATACTCGGCGAGATTGAAAAGCTTTATTGATTCATTTCCTTGAGAAAACTCGAAATTGATGAGCCTTTTATAAAAGGTATAATATAAGAAACACTTATCAAAAAATCAAATATTCAAGATATTATCGCGTTTGGAGAATTTCTGTTTTCCAAACAGAATGTCCAAACAGAGCTTATCAAACATTTATGAATCCTATGAGGATCAGAATTTTAAAAGTCCTGCAATATTTAATTTCATTAAATATACTTTCGTTTTACAAAGAGTTAAATACATTTTACACAATTGCGTACGTAGGATACTGAAACTTAGATATATTTATTTCTCTGGTTTTGAGCATCTTTCTTTAAAATAAAATAAAATATGTATGATCTGCAAGGTAGCTTTGACGTAGTACATTAAGATACATGTGCGGGAAAGTAGATTTTTATTTTGTGCGGCGTTTACGTTTGAATGAAGCCAGGGTAAAAAATCATGCGAGACGGAAATCTCTTTGCCAAACATGTATCATATGGTATTTTTCAATAGGATATGTGCAAACTTCGATTTTTTCTTGAGCGTGCGTTAGTTATTTTTTGTAATAGCGATTTCCAAGATACATGTATCAATTTCAAAAATAGATAATTCCAAATCGCGAAAATAGTCATGTACGATTATGCAATTCTTTAATGCATTCGAGGAATGCCGATTGAACAATTGAATTCAAAAGTATATGTTTGAATTCTATGTGACTTCATGATCAAAAAGTTAATAAAGATGGAATTCTTCGAAAATGTCAGTATACATTAGCATAGGAATATCAAGTATCAAGTCATACGTCGCAGTGGGGAGTAAATTTTACTCGTATAGCCTAATTAAAGAAGTTGACAACTGGTAACTCGATCATAGCCTTATACAATTAGACTTGGAAAAGCCAAGGCACACAAATAAAGTCAGTGAATTTCTGTTTTTAGGTGACGGGAATCGTCGGCAGAGCTGACGTGCTTGCCTGCATTTTCTTCTTGCTGTCTTTTCTAGCTTATCACGGGTAAGTTTGACTCTCATTGAAAAGATATTTTCCTTCTTTTAGTTGAAGTGAGCCCCGCCGGAAAAAAGACAACATCACAATGAACATTCGCGACTAATAAATGAACAAGAAAAAAATAGAACGAAAGAAAGAAAGAAAAGGAGTAATAGCGTCGCTGTCGTAGTTGAAAAGGAAGCATAAGTATGTCAAGATGAATCAGCACAATAGCAGCGGTGCATTTTGATTCAAATTCTTCTAGTCCCTTTAAAAAGGGAAGAAACCTCGACTCTTTAATTAATTACGCGCGATAAGTCATGCGTACAATACTTTTTCTCTCCCTCTTATGTATTCTTCTCTCTTTCTTTTAGTTTGCAAAGTTCGGCTACTTTCAGAGAGAAAAAGAGCAAGTGAGAGAAGAACTTGAAGGAATTTCGATTAATCTCGCACGAGCGCGTCTTTTTTCACGCATCGAAGACCATATCAAGCGACACTGATTTTCCTCTTTCACGCCGGGCTGGATTTTTAATAAAAATCCTGGGATCCGCTGCATTGCTCATGATGTGCGATGGTTCAAAGCTAAAAAAACATTTTTCCATTGCAATAATACTTGTATTATTCTATCACGTGATGCAAATGTCATATTATTATAAACAATATTTCGAATATCAGCTTACACCCGTGGTACATTGGTAACGTGTTGGAGGCAATTCGATCGTCAAAATTTAATTAAAAATTGTCTCGGTGTAGCCAGCATGAAGTAGCTTATCAGTAAAACGTAAACGCGGTTAACACGTGAGCGAGCGCCGATATACAGAGACGGACACAACGAGGTTTGCGAGAGAGCAAGTGCCGCTACGTATGTATAAATTGGCGCTCGCGCGCACGACAGAGAGCATCGTCCGATTAATTTTCGGTAAGGGGAGGGGAGAAGAGGATAGTATGGCGCCGACACGCCGCTTGTTCCATTTGTGAGATTAAAACGATAGATTGGAACGATAGCTGCCGATGAAATTCATCCAGAATCGATTTCTCGCTCTCTCTCTCTCTCTCTCTCTCTCTCTCTCTCTCTCTCTTGCCGCAATGATTTAGCGCTCAATCGACCGAGTGCCAAAGAAAAAAACTCCTCCTCGAGGATTAAGTGATTTTCCCATGAAAAATAAAAAAGGACACAAGGGATTTGGTTTTTCGGGATATATGTGTTTTCATTAATTTAGCGCAAAGTGATCAGTAGCTTTGGTTTTGGTTATTGCAGTCAACCGTCGTTCTATGTGTGGAGTAGCATTGGCTTTGGTGCATTTTCGATGCTCGCTAAAGAGACTGGCGTTACCGTGCTGCTGCTCAATCTTCTCTACGACTTTTTTCGCTCTTGGCATCCGATTAAAAGGTGAGTTATCTATTATCTTGAAAATGCATTTGTTCGTATCCTCGCGTTCAATAAGAATTCTATAAATCATGCTTTAGTTTTCTTTTACAACAAGCTTATATACATATCACACTGAATTTTATTTTTGCACATGAAAATTTCATTTGAATTTTTAATATTACCAACATTAATGGCTTAAAATATCGGTCGAAGCTTTTAATTTTATTTGTACAAAGTAGAGTACCTCGATCTTTATGGTTATACATTCCGACATCATTCTAATTAAATGCAACATTCGTTTGAATTTTAGTAAGAAATTTTCATCTCGTTCGAGCTTGTACATGTACACGAGTAAACGTGGCGAGTGCCGCTGTTGCACAAGTTGACAATGCGATTTACGTTTAGATCGAACAATATTGTTAATTTTCGAAATGTGTAAGTGTTTAGCGTGAAAACTATATCCGTCGTTTGGATAAGTTTGAAGTGTTAGCGCAAACGAATTGGATGACTTAATCTTTGAAAAATAAGCGCTGGGTGGGTAAGCGATAAGATTGCAAGTTGCCGAGACAGTCGCAAGTGTTTGGAAAAATAATAATAACATATTTTGCGCACAAAGCTGATAAAATCAGAAGTCTCGCGATCGATGTAAAGCCATAGTTTGAAACGACACGCGCACGGAACAGAGGAAAAAAAAAGAAAACCGCAGAAAAAGCCATACATATGATATTAAATAGCCTTGGCTAATCGCTTTGTTACAGATCTATCCTCGAGGCGAGGTGGAACGACGAGTCGCGGCTGTTCACCCGGCGAGCCGCAACTCTACTTGTCTCGGTGAGTATCCCTTTACAAATGCCAAATCGCAAGCCATACAAGCGTGTACAGTCGCAAAAGAGATACGTATATCTCGTGATTAGCTGACCCAACATTTTTTCGCTGAATTAATCGATGAAAAACAAGGAAGCTTATTTCCCGACGTGACATCTCATTTGGCAATTAAGTCACGGACAGATCAGCCGACGAACGGATTATAGCTCTAGGAAGCCCTTAGCCCCGTGCGTCTCTTGCTAAATGGTATGCCTTTCCATTTCAGCACGCGCGCGTACACGCTACGTTCAGTTTATTTCAAAATGCTGACGGTAGTGGAATTGTTTTGGCCACAACACGAGAAATTGACTTTATAATTTACACTGGCGGCTTTAGAACCTTAGCTTCTCTTTGCGTCGCCCCTCGTTTAGCTTTATCTTGTTCGTGCGGCTAAAGCTTACGTACGTTACTCTGATGAAAGAGATGGGACATCTTACCGCGTGCAAACATTCCGAGAAAGTAGCAAATGAACAAAGTGAATGCTTGTCTATATGGACGCAGAGGCCATTAGCCAAGGGAACAGTACCCGTTTTGATTAGACTCTCTCTCTCTCTCTCTCTCTCTCTCTCTCTCTCTCTCTCTCTCTCTCTCTCTCTCTATCTTTCTCTCTCTCTCTCTCTCTTTCTCTCTTTTGGCTTATCTGCGGAGGATCGTTGCGTTACTTATTCCTGGACTTTTTCCCGAGACTTTCTCTCTTCAAACTTTCAATAACTTAACGTGAAGTGATAAATTAATAAATACATTGGAGCTTATAAAGCTTTCAAGCTTCCTATTGATTAACTTTGACACATCTAATACAAACTGTCGCCATGCAACTGTCCAACTTTATTTATATCAACAAAAGTGAATAAACGTTGTTGACTTGCGCGAGCAAACTGAGAGCTTTCTCCCTTCGGTCACCGAATCCGTGAAAAAAGAGAGAATACATAGGTATACAGGCGAAAGTTTGCCTGAAAAAAAAGGCTAAGACGAGAGTAGTACTTAGCAAAGCAACTCGACTCGACACAGAAATGCATCAGGCATATCGCTCGTTCTATTCCAGGAATTAGAGCTGTATACAGGTATATGACCTTAAAGCCTGCGTGTCATAGTCTGTCTGCCGCTTCAAAACACCATAAGCTCATGAATAGAATGAATAAAACATGGCTGCTTCGCGGGCGCGTGCGTCGAATTGATGTGATTTTACAAGCAGCAAAAGGAAAGAAATATATATCTTTCGATATGTAATACTTGGGACCTCTGGCTGTTTGTGGGCGTGTAATCTACGTAGGTTGTTTACTAAATGCCAAAGCTGCGCGCGCGCACGTGACAAGAATATGCCGGCAGCATTTGCATCTTAGCCCCCGTGTGTTTGTGGGTTTTGGCCAAGGGAGCGAGATGAGGGACTTTCGCGAAGGACATTACTCTTCGGCTCGCTGTACGCTTTAGCAGATTAAACTTTTGTTTATCGAGTGAATTATTATTGGAGCCGGAGAGCTGCTGCCCCTGCTGCTGCTCACTGTACTAAGTCCAAGTTTCGCTCTTGTGTTATGCACACTCGATAAACGCTCGGAGTTTCGAGATTTATCATTGCCCTCGATACACGTGTCTGTATATACACATATATTTGCGCGTACACACACACACACATACCTACGCTTTGCTACGAATTATTGATCATCCGAAAAACTTTCTGCCGCAGAGTGTCTGTCGCATCAATACAATACTTATCCAAAAGTTTGTCCCGCAGGCCAGTCCTTCGCACTCACGCGTGTGCGCAGCGGCTAATTAACAAGAACCACTAAACTTTTCGTAGCAGCGTTTCAAATATGTATGTGTGTGTGTGTGTATACATGTAGAAGGACCGCGATGGATGCGTGGTTCGACGCACTGCGGCAATTGGTTCTCGACGCTTCTGTACAGTTTGCGAAGGTAACCTGAGTGCTTGTTTAGAGGCATTGTCGTACGCGACAGTCGAGCAAATTGAAAAAACAGAGATGAACCATTTTTCTTTATTTTCTTTACAAAAACAGAAAAGACAGAGTGGAAAAGTTTGCGTACGCGAAATCTACGTATATAAAATTTCCTTTTTTTTCCATACTAAATATTGTTCAAGTGAAGTAAAAAAGATGGTTTGGTGAGATAGTGAATGTGCTGCTTCGGGCTTGAACTTCAAAGATGAAATTTGCTGTGACGAATAAAAATTGAAGAATATTGAAAGAGAAATTTGTGAAAAACATAATAAAGCAATATCTTAACATACTAAAGAGTATAATCTACTTCATTTGCAGATATTGAACAATCTTTTAAAAATATTCAATAATCATGATAAACAACAGTTTAGAAGCACTTTTATATGTGCAGAACCAACAGCTTCCGAGTCGCATGTATTAGTTATCTAAATTTATGCTGAACTTTGTAATTTATTATAGGACTAGCTCAATTAAACGTAACGCTTCGCTTTCGAAAAGAATTTCCAAATTCCGCTGAGTTTTTAAAATTTTCAGCCATAGCAAGAATTTTGTATACATATAATCTGGTATGGATACCTGAGGCAATTTAAAATTTGCTGATACTAAGTCGAATAATTTTTACAATCATTTTTAAACTTCATTTTTTCGAGAATTTTAACATTTTTGTTCTACATCCTTAAAAAATGATTTTTTTAACTCCAAGCACAGCTTATAGAATATCTGACGCGTTATATCTTTTTTGTCCTTAAAAGTACATCCATTGCAAATTGACGTTTGTATTCGTAATTTTTCGAAATATCCTAACTCTGATTAAGTATACTTAGACTGGAGGCCAATTTTTATTTCGTGGCGATCAATTAACATGTATTTTTTTAGAATTTATTTGACCGTCATTTTAAATTTTGTTTTTTCAACTTATTTAAAATAACGTATATAGCCTTGCAGTTGGAGATGGTTTGTTGTAAGAGAAAGCGGCAAAACTTGTTAATAAAATTAACATTGGAAAAAGCTACGAGCCAAGTCAAGATATCAAATATTCTAACATTGGCATATTTTTTTGTTCACTAAATGTTTGAAGTGCGCTTCGCTCGCCATCAATTATAGTTTTCATCACTAATTTATTAAACTTAATAATTTATTAAATTCAATAAACGTTAAACATCATTTATTAAAAATAAAATAAACTGACACCACACATATAACAGTAATTATAATTTTTATAAATTAAAAAAAAAGTTTAAAATAAATAATTTATTTTAAGATTTTATTATACTGAATAGTGAGTTAATAAAACTAAAAATAATAAATACATATTAATTGTAAGTGTCAAAAATTATATCAATTATCACGGAGTAATCCTTTATAAACGTAATTTTTTATTCTCTATGTATGTATTTGATCTCCAAGATGTATTGCTATAGAGTCCCAAGATCGAGCTCTAGACAATGCTACATATAATTGCCCGTGACTAAAAACATCCTTGCGTAAATCAACCACAACGTTATTAAATATTTTTCCTTGAGATTATTCTTATGGAAAATGTCAATTTTATTGGAAATTCTCTTCTTTTTAAAGTAAAAGGGTATTCATTTACATAATATAGGGCAATACGATTTAAAATAACAATGTTATTAGATTTATCACCCGTTGTATTATTTGTAGTCACGTATCGTTGCACAGACTTTCATTTATACTTATATTTTTAATTAACATAAAATTGCAATTCTTTTTTAAATTCAATTTGTAAACGGGGTGGGTTGAACGAGTTTAGATATTTGAGCATTATAATGTCATTTAATTCACCATTAATATTTCAATTTATAAATTAAACTACAGTATATAAACGCTTATTTGTCAAATCTAATAAACTGGTAATTTGTATATTGATATCTACATCAATATTGCTAGCAGGCAATATTGCCCATTTATTTATTTTATTGAATTTCTTTTCATGGATCAATTTAGCAAAAATATTTTCGACAATACTCGTTGAAGGTGGAAGTAAACAATGTTCTGAAATATTTATATAATGTTCATTGTCACTATGTATTCCATCTCTAACATTTAACAATAAATTAGAAAATAGAACTTCATTTGGTAAAATTCTCATATTTGTCGTAAACTTATATTTTCAAATGTGTTGCCACTGCGCACTATATTTAATTGAAAGATATAATATTTTATTTCTAGTTCTTCTTACTTTAATTGGTACAAGTTGCTTAAAATCTCCACCTATAATGATAATTTGTCCTTCAAATGGTAAATTATTTCCCAGAACAACCTGTAAAACTTTATTTGCAATATCCAAAGCATATCTACGAGCCATTGAAGGTTCATCCCAAACAAAAACCTTAGTTTTTAACAATTTTTCTGATTCACATCAATCAGTCAGACAGTCCATACCTGTACTCAACATGATCCAATCTGACGTAATATATACATTAGATATATTTCAAATGTGTAATAATATAAAACAAATATAATCTACTGTAATTGAACTTACCTATTCTGATTATCTCGTGCAATATTTATTTAATAATAATGTATATAGTATACATCATCCCGCTGATTTTTGCGTCATCACACCACGTGATCACTCAACCGACCAATCATACTCATTAGAGGCTTCAAGTCTCGTTTTTAGTAATGACTTTTTTAGTAATGATGATGATGAAATGAAAAAACCATTCTTTTCTAAATAAAAATACTCTGTATTCTCTTAACGTAAACATTTATATTTGACATTAGAACGTTATGCTTTCTCTAACAATACAGTCGAGATAAATGCAAGTACAATAAAATTACTAAACGTGAAAATGTTTTGAATCCACGTGGAATATTCAACAATGAATATTCCGCCAAAATGTATTCTTTCGGTTTCACATTTTCAATTTCGCGCAGACACACGCACGCACAGACGAGAGAAAAAGTATCAGGTGTGCGCCGCGTCGAAAAAGAATTCCATTTGTGAAAACGCTGTTCGGGAGTAAAGCTGGCCAAATAAAAGGAATATAAACAAGAGTGGTGAAATAAGAAATTCGTTCGCACGCGTTGCGCACTATTTATCCAAAATTGAATTGAAATTTTCGGATTGGGATCGCATCGCGCGTATATAGTAATCTCCTCTATTTTGAAATCCCTTCCAAGTCACTCGATATTCAACCGAGCGAAAATCCCCACCCGTGCGCGTTATGAATGCAACTACGTCGGATATTGTCCGAAAAAAGGGGGTGGATGACTTTTTTCCTTTTTATCCGTCTTTTTTGAGAAAGAGAAAAGGGACCGACGTCTATTAGGTTTGCTGGCCAAACGTGACGGCCAACTACGTGACGGGGAGAAGTTCGTCCTTTGGTTGACGCCTTTCCGTTTAAGTGCTCGCTTCTCGCAGTACTTTGTCTTACAAATGAACTTCGCGCCTGTGTCTGTCTACCCCCTCCCACCCCCTCCCCTTCTCTCTCCTTCTGTCTTCAAATGGTAAACGCGTCACTTTACACTAACACATTTTAGTCTTCCTATTGTCCTTGAAGAAAGTCAATGCTCAAAATTTGATTTTCTCTCATTACTTTTCCTTGAATTGACTTTCATCCGTAATCAAAATTCTACTCTGCGTACAGTAAACGACAGCACGGCTTTGCGCTCATAATTAACATAACTTTACTCAGGTCAGAAGTTCGACTAACATATATATTGATCTGTCATATATTTACTTATTAATTGACTAACAATTTACTTCTACTAACGTATCGTGATGTTTGACAAGGAGATGAAATAATGAATCGATAATCCACGTGAGTACATTATTAAAATGTCAACTGAGCCGTTACGAATAATGTTAAAGTTGAATTGTCCTTTCCCATTAAACGTACACACAATGGTGTAACAGTGCGCTTACCGAAAGAAAAGTGACTTTTAACCTGAAAAGCTTGTCTCTTCGAAAACAGAACACATTATCTGACAAGAACGCGAAAAACTCGCTGAAAAATCTGTATACACATAAAACGTTTGATTAAGTTCGTCGAGCGTAAACGTATGTCGAAACTTTTTAAAAAAGGCAGAGAAAAAATCAAGTGAGCATGACGCGTACAATCAGACGCATTATTCCGATAAGCAGAGCTTGAAAACATATATGGAAATTAAAACGAACGAATGTGAGAGAGCAGAACAAACGTGCACTCCTTTTCGAAATAATGATTATACATTTTTTGTTATTATCAGCTGAGCATACTTCTAGTGGTGAGACTGGCCTTGTTGCACGGTGCATTACCCAAATTCTCGCCGCAGGATAATCCGGCTGCCTTTCATCCCTGCTTTCATGTGAGGTAAGTGAGCATTGCTTTTCTCTGTATATATTGGCTCGCGTAACATTCAAACGTTTACCTAACTCCTCTTTTTGCTTGTGAACGTTCTAATGCCCTCGTTGTTTACGCGGCATATTGAAATTGAGATGGATACTGGTAGACTTTGTTGAAAGCTACTCTGGGTTTGATGTATGAGTGGGACTCGCGTTCTAAACAAATAGGCATGAAGCCAGTATGCGTTTGCGCCAAGTTGGAACTGAAGACTGAGCTTAGCAAAAGAGATATTTCTGGAAGTACGTATAATCTTCAAAATTCTAAATCAAATAGAATATCTAGTCGCAAAAACAACTGAGCTACTCAAAAAACTTTGAAGCACGTATTACAAATGAAACAGAAATCCATTCGAAAGCAATTGCAGCTTGAAATGCAACAAGAAAGTTAGACCTGGAATTTTTCGTTGAGAACCACTGAATATTATGAGAATAAAACTTTAGGTGAAATTCCGTAGCCAATTGCGTATCGCTCTTTTGCGCGTGATGTGCCCGCTGAAATGCAAAACCTCGATACGGACATTGATCCGCGCATAAGCACTTGAAAATATATGCGTTCGAGATTTCACTGATATTCCTGTTCTCTCTCGCTCGCGCGCAAGCGCCAGGAGCTCGCACATCCGTCAGATTTAACGTACGTACGCGAAAATGCGCCTATCTTCACGCTTTTATATCGCTCGAAAGCACTTTTGCCCATATAGCTCCATATCCAAGCATTCGTATTTTCCCGTTTTCGCTTTTCTTTACATGTGCTTCATTCGCAAGACTCTTACTTCCGACGCTGGATACTTTCTCTCGCTTTTACCAAATACTCATCTATTCTACTCAATATTCCAATGTTACTGTCCTTCATTCATTTGATTAATTTTGTAAACTCGAGGTTTTCAGTTTGGCGAGTAATGGATGTGCGCTATTATTTTGGCAGCATCGATTTTTATTAGCAATAACGTTGATTGATATTTTTCATTAAAAAGCCTTTCTGGTGCAGACGTAGCACAGCTTGGCAAATGGACCAAAGACTTGGACCAATTCCGAAAATTATTAAGCTTACCGCTTCACATTTTGTTCAAATGAATGAATTTGCCAAGCTCCAGTTTACATAAATTTTACTCGGTTGACGACTATGAAATCGACGACGGTCTGTTGAGGATTTTCGATTAAAAAGATTGATTGATCGCAGAAAACAGCTACACTACGAGGCTCTCATAGCTGTTCCACGAGAGCGCGCATAGCTGTCCAACGATGAGCTTGACTTTTCTTCCTTCATAATACGTTATACACCTACGTGTGTAGAGCCAAGTCTAAAGCCATGTGTAGAGCTTCCAAATGATTTCTCACGATCACCAATGAAATCTCAGATCAGTATGATCAGTATATAGCAAGGAACTATACTTGGCCCGTGTTACCGCTGAAATTGCAGTGAAGCCAAGTGTGCAGAAGTCTGTCACCGTAAAATCCATGCTTGCCGTCGAAACCAGCGATTCCGGCCTATAAAATTCGCCTCGGATATACAGTCGTCGTCGTCACTCTCTGACTGCTGAGGCTAAGCCAAAAAGCATGCGGAACAGTCTGTTTCCCAGCTCGCTCCCATGCCACTCCCCCTGTGGAAAGCCAATACGCGGAACGATTGCACACGTTCGAAAAGTGAAACGTGGAAAGCTCACTCCTGCGACTGCCAGATTGCGCCTATACACCGCTAGGTCTTATCTTGCGTGTATAACATTTTTTTTTAATGCCGCATTTGCGCGATATGGTTTACTTCAAAGTAGATGTATATTTTTTATCTGGCAGCCGCGACGTGCATTAAAATATTGATTTTCTGTCCATTCTTCTCGCTGATGACTGACCACACCGCGCGTGCAATTTAAACAAATGTAATTTCGTTGCCCACTTTTTAGTGGGGCAAATCGAGTAATGCCGAGTTATTATATTATTGCTCTCGCTGCCGCTTGTACCACGTATTTTATTGCGGTGAGGATTTTCGTTTTGCCGAGTGGAAAGGAGCTTGTTAAAGCCAAGTCTCTGCGATATAAAATCAGCTTTTTTTATTCGTCTTTGCTTATAGCCACAGAAATGCAAATTTTCTCTCGTTTTCCTACCATTTTTACTAAAACTTTGCCTTTCAGCTAGTTTCAATTTATTTCAAAATTTCATAAGATGCCGTTAGCTTTGTCGATACGCTTCACTCTAACGCTAACAATCTGGTTCTTTTTTTATTAACGTCGCATAGAAAATCACGCCAATTAAAATTTTACTAGGAGGACTGATACATTAACTCATCAAATCTTACTGGAAAAATATATCGTTAAGTCATTCGTCTTTAACGCTCAGCAATGTCCAGCAATAGATTACTAATGATGCAACATTGTGAGAAATATATCATAGACATATCATTATAAGAAAAAGGTATTGTCGGCGCGTTTACCGCAAATGTCGAATGATTTGCAACATTCTTACATTGCAGCTTTCCTTTTCTCACACACAGCTAAAATCTCTGCTAATAAAATCGAGCCGAAAACCGAGAGTTGAAAGGGGAGCTTCATGACAGGATGGTATAAAAAAATAAAGAGCGGCGCAAGTTCGCGACCGCAATCCACGAACATAAATCAGCCATAACGCCAGATTTTATTAATCGTCAAGCATGAACTAAAGCGAATAATCCACGGCGAAGAGCTGGAAAAAAAGCAAGAGAGTAAAAAGAATGAGAGAGAAGCTTCCATTTGTGAGAGTCAGTTATGTATAAGTTTGCACGCGGTACTCACTAAGCGGTTTCACGGCTTGTAGAAGGCTAAGGTCAGGCCCGTAAAAAAACCTAATACAAGTCGAAAATGAGCCGCTGAGCTGCGCACTCGAGATACATTCGCACATGCGCACACGCTCACGCACACACACATCCGGCAAAAAACGAAGAAGAGCTCGTTTAAGGTAATAAAGGTTCTTCTTCTGCCTGGCGGAAAATAGCTTTTCTCAGTTATCGGCTTCGATAGATGCACGTAGAGAGAGAAAAAAAAGGTAAAGAAATGAGCTGCCTCCGATCGCATGCTCGTAAAAGGCTTTACATTTCACAAGGCGTTTGCGAATTTTTCCTTCTCTCTCTTTCTCTCTCTCTTTCTCTCTCTCTCTCTCTCTCTCTCTCTCTCTCTCTCTCTCTCTCTATATATATATATATATATATATATATGCATATACAAGTCTCATTTTACTACCACAGGCTTTTATAATGCACTCCAGTATATATACCCGCTCGCGCACGCGAGAGTTGTAAAAACAAACGCGCGAGCGCCTGTAAAATTATTGCAGTAAAACAGTGGAAGCGCGAGGTTTTATATTGCGGAAGATGCGCATGTAGCAAACGTAAAACGGGCGAGTACCGTCGCAAGTAGTAAAAAATGAATGCCTAGCAAAGCGCGATGTGTGCGTGTGTGTGTATGTGTGTGTGGGTGTGTGTGGTTCGTGCAATCACAGACTATGAATTAGACGTTTGAATTAGTTGCCCTGATTCGACGAGATTATGAGAGAAGGTAAACGCGAACTTAGTGTAAAATAATAGAACCACGCGCTTTTCACCTTCGAGTGCGAAATAAACAGTTTCGATCTCTCTTGCTTGTGAGAGGGAGATTGATGTCGATGACCCAGATTTTAGTTGATAAAAGTAGATATTGACTTTTTGACAGCGTTCAAAGCTTTTCGTTTGACGCTCACCTGAGAAAATAAAAAACTATTTTGAGGGAGTGAAAGCGTGTAAGCTTATGTCGAGGGATCGCTTGATCACCGTTCGTATAACGATAGTATAATTCGAACTAATAAACGCGTTTAGATAACTGACTTTACTTTTTTATACTCCAGCTTTTTCAATTTTTCAATTTTCCAAAGTTTTCATCGTTATACTTGATGCAATCCTAATGGCAAATCTTCATTATTATCGAACTCTCAATACTACCAAAGATTTTTACAAACGTTTCTCAATAATAAGCTCGACCTTTCATACTCTGCATTTGTACATTTTAACAGTACGTATGAACTCGATATCACGGCATGCAAATATTTGGTGAATGATGTAGCAACTCTTAATCAAAAGCTGTACTTGTTGTAACTCAATTGCAAGCCGTAAAATTCATCTCTACCGTCGTTTCCATCAAAATTTCTCAAACTCAGGATAGCAAGTTTTCGGGGAAAACGTCTTGAATAATTCGTCGCTCGAATCTAAACTTCGTCATACTCGAAAATTGAATCAGCCCCGAGACAGCAGACGAAAAACGTAAAAAGGATTTTCTACTTTTTTCCAAGACCTTGAGCTGTCGGCAACAACGATTGTTTATATAGTATGAGAGTAGGGTGGAAGCTCAGCTGCCGGCGATTCCACGAGGATACGTGAGCGGAGCGCGTAACGGGAGCTGCGGTTGCGGATCGTTATACTGCGAGTCTGATTAATTTCACGTCGCGCGCTCTTACAGAGACGCGTACACTCGATCTTATTTACTGCTGTTTATTCTTTTTCTACTTCTTACTTGGATGCACAACATCGATATACAAGATTTCGCTTTTATGTTAAGTTGTTAGCAGAGATGGATGGGTTATTGGATATCGACATTCATCCGTTTGCTGTATGGATTGTGCATCGAACATGCATCCAGGATATTTTATATAACTATGAGAGGCTGTCGAAAGCCTCTCGCACAACAAGTTAATTATAGTTATGACCTGTCATAAAAGATATGAATATCGTAACACTTTGATTTGGCAATACGCACCATACGCTACATCAACTATTCACAGAAGATTTCCATGTAAAGACCAGAAATAATTGTACACCCAACATTCGGGAAAGCGAGTTCTCAAGTAAGCAATGAGACAAAGCGTAACGTTTTCTGAAGAGCAGAGAAAAATGTATATAGCGACAAGAGAAAGGTTGGTATATAAGGAGAAGAGGCGGGAAGGAGGTGGATAATTACGCTTGCCAAGACGGACCGG